TATATATATATATATATATATATATATATACTTGGGATCATGTGAGACCAAGAGTTTTTCGTGAGATCCGTAAGACCAATTCTCAACCCTTAGATAAATCTACAATCTGATCATTCATAATAATAAAATTGCCACGAGACTTCTCAATAATCACAAAATTGTCACCGTGCAACTTTAGACCATTAGCTTATATAAGTTGATCAATGAACATAAATTGGTCTTACGGATCTTACGGGTCTTACGAAAAACCTTTGGTTTTACGTGAACCCAACCATATATATATATATAGGGGCCTAATCAAATGAGAACTAATTAGTTTGTGGTAACTGTGAGAACCAATATTAACCACAAATCAATAGATAAATTAGAAAATTTATAACTTTGGCAATTTTGAATTAAAATATTAATGAAAGGATATTTTTTGGTATTTTAAAACTTTCCTCCCTCCTCTCTTCTCTCTCTAGCCACCGTCCTCCGGTCACCGTCCGCCGGCCACCGTCCTCCGGTGTTACTACAATGGTATCACAATGCGTCATATATGTGCTTGGGTATCACATTGATGTCGTTTGTGTGGTCGATCGAAGATGTAATACAGTGGTATCACTATGCATCTTATATATGATTAGGTATCACAATGTATCTTTTGTTTAACAGAGTCAATATATTTAGGTATCACAGTGGTATCATAGTGGTATCACCGGAGGACGGTGGCCGGAGGCCGGAGGACGGTGGCCGGAGGACGGTGGCCGGAGGCCGGAGAACGGTGGCCGGAGAGAGAAAAGAGGAGAGAGGAAAGAGGAGAGTTTTAAAATATCAAAAATATCCTTGCATTAAGATTTTAATTTAAAATTACCAAATTTATAAATTTCCTAATTTATCTATTGATTTGTGGTTAATATTGGTTCTCACAGTTACCACAAACAACTCAGTTCTCCCTTGAATAGGCCCCTATATATATATATATATATATATATATATATATATTTGTATAGTTTACGGGTAGGTTAAATTCAATAGTTAAGAAAACGAGGTTTTTATATTTACTTAAACATATTTTTTAAATTGTTATATTAAAATAGAAAAAAGTAGATAAATATTCAAGTTTAGAGTACTCTCTAAAACTTATGTGTAGAGAGAGAAATTAATTTTGTTATTCATTCCCTTTAAAATTAGATTGAATTATTATCATTTTATAAAATATTAATGATAAAATAAATGTTAAAATATCTAAAACAGATAGTTTGTTGAAGAAAAATGTGATTCTGTTTAGAGATTTTGACTTTTGATTGTTTATTTTGAAAATTTTTATAAAGAATTTGTCACACACATCAACATCGAAAGTTCTTTTTACATTATAATATATGATTTGATTTGATTTGATTTTGATCCATATAGAGATGCATATAGCAACACCTCTCCCTCCTCCCCCTCTCTCTCTCTCTCTCTCTCTCTCTCTCTATATATATATATATATATAAAGAGAGAGAGAGAGAGAGGATCATGCAAGCAACAAATTAATTTGCAAGAATACTTGAATATGAGTCATATATCTTATTTAATAAATGAATTAAATAAAAAATTATCAAATTAAGCTAAAAAAATGCATGATTATCATTTTATGTATAACCTTATCTATAATCATGGGAATAATCCCTAATAAATGGGATTAAGTTGGTTTTCCGGAACAAATTTTATTAATCTCTTATAAACCCATATGATATATAATCTGTAACAGGTTGATTATAGGTTTTTATCACATATGATATATAATTTGTTTGATGATCGTATCAATCATATGTGATAATTGTAAATATTTTTGTTAATCATATGTGATTATGTATATTTACATTTATAGATCTTATTGTAAACAAATATTATCAAATGTGATAATGTGCCACTTATACTCAGACCATATTATCACATGTGATCGTGCGTAACTTATACTCACATGCATATTATCAGTTTATCACATGTGATATGTACAAAAAAATTCACACAATATTTGCCCATTGCCCAATCCCAATGGACAAACCTTAGCCCCTAGCTCTATAATCCACCCTACCCAGTCCCTGAAAGCCCTCCGAGGGGCCTAGCCCTCTTTATTCGAGTCTTAAGCGACTTTCATCGTTGACGAACACCTGCGCTAATAAGACAAAGAGGGAGTCTATGCCTTGAATGAATCAGTAAAGTAACAACGAATTAGTGGAATGAGGGATTTATTTAAATTAGTTCACTACTAGAAACTTGACTATCACCGATGGATATTACCGACCAATACAGATGGAATATCGACGGATGGCCCACAAAGGGTACTTTTACTGAAGAATAAAAAAATCCGTCAATAATAATTAAAATTACCGATGGATCACCAACAACCATATCGAATTTTGAATAAAAATAATAATAATCCGTTGATAATCTCTCGATGATAGTAAAAATAATTGACAGATTACCAACAAAATCTTAATTATTTTTATTCAAAAATCGATATGGCAGTCAGTGATTCGTAAGAAATTAGCGACGGAATTCATAATCCGTCGCTAATTTTTGGCGGATCACCGACGATCATTTTGATTTTTGTTTTTCTTTTCAAGTTTTAGTTATCCATATTAGTTTTAATTTGATTGATTTTGTATAGTTTGATGTGTGTGTACATGTGTATATATGTATAAGTATGCATGTACATATATCTATATGTATACATGTGTGTATGTTAGTTGCTAACTGCATATGATGGATTTATATGTATATATATGTTGTGTGTGTATATATATGATCATATATGGCATGGTGTAAATCTTAGGCCAACCATATCAGATATTGTTCATTTTGTTCACATACATGGATTCACGGTTTTAAAACGCGTCTGATAGATGAGGTTTCAAGTCCCTATTCATAAGACAACCTTTGTTCCCCTCCCCAACCAATATGAGATC